TATTCTTGTTCAATACCTACATATATACGTTATCTCTATATCACAGATTTATCATCGTCTATTATTATTATCACATATTTATTTCTTTCTTACTTCTTAGTTCATCTTATTTTCTTTTTCCTATCTTCTCTCTACTTATACATTTCCTTCCTGATTCCATTCTTTTATCTCCCTTTCTTTCCATAATTTCCTTATTATTTCCCCTTTCTCTTCATCTAATTCCTCATCACACATTTGAATAATATTTATATATAATATTAATATATTATAAGTAATTATAATAATTTAAATAATTTATTAAATTCGAGTTTAGTAAATGAATTTATTCTTTCAATGCTTGTAGATCAAGGTTCTGAAAAATCGCAAGTTAAAGAAATAGAGAAAATGCAGACTAAAGAGTTGAAACGTGTTTTAAATAAAGTAGATGAAATGCGAATGCAGAGACTTGATTTGCTTACTAAATTACGAGATCAAATTGTTCAAGATGATTTAACGCGCTTATTGGTGACGGCTACATCCGAATCTGTTTCTCTGGATCGTTTATTTGCGGACCAACTTAACAAGCATCAAAGTTTGGTTGGTAAAATTTCACTTAAATTATTTCATACTTTCTAATATGTAAAGATTGAATAAAAAAGTTTAATATTGGATTGTAGGTGAGCTTGATAGAACAAAATCTTGCTGCACAAGATAATATATTAGCAGCTCTAACGGACGCATATGCACAGACTGCTAATGTACGTAAAAGTGTGGAGGAAGTATTGAAACGTAGAGAAATGACTATATCTTCTTTAATCAATTCTTATGACGCATATGAAGATTTGCTAGCGAAATCGAGCAAAGGCTTAGAATTTTATAGGAAATTAGAAATAAATGTTTCAAAGCTATTACAGCGAGTTAAAAGTACATGTAAAGTACAAGAAGAAGAACGAGAGCAAATACTTGCAAAGGACAATAAGAATACGTATGAGAAAGTCGACGCAACAATACCATCAACTTACGATCAAGCACGTCCTCGATCAGGTAATGGTCTGAAGCTGAAGGATTATTTGAATAATAGAGTGGAAAGCGGCACCGGTTATCAAAATCCATATTATAACTTGTATAAAGGACATGTTGCATCGATGGATTCGAAATCGTTGACAACTGACATGGGAAATAAAAATGTAATTCAATCTCCAAATACAATACCCATATCGGAAATTCCGTCCTCGACTGTGAAGTCACCACAACATTATTATCCTGCAACGTACGCTGATTATAGAACAAGCTCTCCATATTCGTATGGTACACAGACTTATTATGAAAATCTGGTTGCTAATAGCATCTTAAGTCAGAATTACTTACCGACCACTACGAACATTACGAATGTGTATCAACAACCAACACTATCCACGTCAACTGCAGGCATATCTAATTCGAGTGTACAATATCCTGCTAGTTCCTATCTACCTAATGGACAAACTCTACCCACAGCCACCAGCCAAGACAAATTCCACGACGTCTCTTCTAATTACAATGTTTCCAATACTTTGCAATATGACGCTTATCAATCACCAACGGGATATAACAGCTATAACATTACAACACCGTATGTTTCCAATCAAGAGACAGTTAAGAGCGGAATGGCTGAGACGTCCACGCACATTCAACCAGTACCGCAAATGCCTGTTGTTTCTACCATCGGAACTGCAGTAGTGAACAGCACCGTGTCGACGGTTGATAGTCAAGGGCAAACTTCTTATAACATTGTGCAACAAACTCAATTATATAATAATCAACAAAAGACAATTTTAAATCAAGAAATGTTTCACAATGGTCAAAACGCTGTTAGATCTCAAGAAACAATGCCAGTAAAGGACAATACATTGACACAGAATTATTCACTTCCTCAGAATGCTCAATCCGAAATTACGTATTCGCAAAACTATCAGAATACCACGTATTACAATCCAACAGAATTACAAGCTCAGCACGTCCCGTATACTCAAAGTACATACGACACAACTGTCGTTCCTCCAACGCAATACATGCAATCGCAGCAACCGAATACGAGCAATCAATCTGTACATTCTGTATCATCAACAAATGAAGCCTCGGTGTCATACTCTGCGAGTTTACACGCTGTTAATTCTGTCCAGTATTCACAACAAACCGGTAAAGAACCGAGTAAGCAGAATTACACGGATAAAACATATGCCGCATACGGCACACAAGTACAAATGAATACTGTGGCTTCAAATTATCCAAATACTTATCAGAATTATCAGCATGGTACCGCTGGTGCGCCGTACGAACAGACCAACATGCTACCTGGGGACACGTCCAACACATATGCCTACATAAATAACTCGAGTAGCTCGGAAATAATACAGAGCCATGCGAAACCGACGACGGTGCAAAGTTACTCACAATCGTATCAATATTCACAACAAGTTCCTTATTCGGGATACGTGCAGTATCCAAATTATTCGCAAGGCCAAAATTATGCCTATATGCAAAATGCACATGGAAGCAATACAATGGCATACACATATAATCCTGCTAACCAGGCGCAAGGCTACACTTACGCATCTAATCCTCAAGGTACACAGACTTCTCAAACGTTGGAGGCGACGGTTTCAGTAACATCCTCTGATGTTATGGTCAGTGGCATTTATCAGCAGCAAGAGATAAATGCACGATACACGAACGCGGGCAATAATGCTGTGGTTAGTCAAACACTATCCTCGCAATACAGTCAAGTTTATCAATCTCAAACAGGAAATGATACGTACTACACCATGCCTTATGGTCTTCAAATGCAGGGTCAAGGTATATTACATCTTTCTAATATCGACATTGTATTTTCTTATGTATAGAATTATATTGTCATTTTAGATCATTCTGTTTCAGCTGGTTCAGTAACAAGACCTGATAATTACACTAATTATAATCAGACATACATGCAAGCCGTCAACAATGGAACAAACACAACAACAAGTGCTAATCCGATGAAGCTTACTACCAAATCTGAGGAACCGAAATCGAACGTCGATCTTCTTTCTGATCTCGACATTACTATAAATCATGCACCTCTTGTGCCAGAAGTGAAACCTCTTTCTACAGTACAGAAAAAAGAGCAAGCAATAGCAGCTGACACCGCGGAAGATGATAAGGTAGAAAAAAGCGAACAAGATAAATCTTGTAAAACTGAACAAAAAGTTACAACTCCCACTGAAGACAAAAATGATCATGAGAACTTACAAATCGTATGGGATACATGGTACAATGATGTTCAACCGAAAAAAGATCCCCTAGGAGAACCAGCAGCATTACAAAAGTTCATTAATGACGTTGAAAAATACGAAAAATTTGTAGATAGTTTACTCGTAAAAACTTTAAGTGGAGCAACGAATCTTGATATCAAATGGAAAGAAGTTCAAGATTTCGAAGTAAGTTTAAAATAAATTCCACTAGCTTAATATTCTAGCTACATACTCAAGTGAAGAACATATTTTTAAGGACATGTATATAAATAATTTCAAGTTTATAAAAATCTTTTCTTTTTTTAGGAACGAGAAAATGGAAAACAGTCTAGCACTGTAGCATTAGCTCACTCGTCTGAAAATCGAACAATTGACTGTATTCCATATGACATGACACGAGTGCAAATATCGTCATCAGATGTTTCATCATACATAAATGCATCTCACATTATGGAAATCACACAGTGGATACCTACAGCATTTATTATAACTCAAACACCTTTAATAGATAAATTAGATGTTTTTTGGACAATGATCTGGGAACAAGAGAGTGAAATTATTGCATGCTTAGCATCTGATGCTCAGGTTTGTACTTATATAAAAATAATATATATTCTATAACATAAATTAAGAAACTGAAAAATGCTATATACTGACATTTTTTGTATAAATTATATTATATTTTTTTATTACAACACTTTTTAAAATTTGTATACTCTAATAATAATCTTTCATCGTAGTTGAATGGAGAATTATATTGGCCCATAAGTGAAGAGGACAACTTAGATATAGGAAATTTTACTATTTCACTAAAAAAGATAGTTAATCATACAACTTATATTCAAAGAACTCTTTCTATTCAACATAATAAAAAGAAATTTGAGAGAGTTATTGTACACATGCAATTTCTTGTGTGGCCTTCAAAGTAAGTTAATTCAAGTAATTGAAATACTTTGTACTAAATACTAAAAGTACACGTACAGCGATTGACATATCTGACTTTTTCAGTGGTTTTCCGAGTAGTCCTGGCGCTATACTTGCATTTTCAAGCGATGTAATGACAGAACAGGCATTAAGACGTTGTTCTCCTAAGCCGGTAATTGTACATTGTTTAGATGGCGGTTCATTAAGCAGTCTATTTTTAGTAGCTGCTGCGACCGTATGTCACATACGAGCTGATTGTGGAATCGTAGATGTACCATTGATTTTTAAAGGCCTTGCGAAATGTCGCAAACAAGTCGTAAATAAGGAATCGTTATTATTTGCATACAGACTCGTGTTGTACCACGCTCAGGATATCTTAATGAAACGTAAGTGAAATAATTTCTCATAATATCTTTAATGAAACAATTCCAGTAATGTATTGTTTCATTTCAGGCGGTATTTTATCCTCTACTCGAGTCACATTTGACAATTTAGATGGATTCAAAGGGAACAAGGAGAAAACATCGCGAAAATTACAATGCCATCCTTCGGATGATTTTCTTCATAATCTCGGGGTGGGAATGCAACGTTCTGATTCTGAACAATCAGGTATGCAATTATCAAAATATTGTAAATTGATTTTAATATTAATTTTAAGCAAATAACTTGTCGAGCATTAATAGTTATTTCAATTTTTTTTAATTTCTAAATTTTTTTATTTTAGGAAAAACACAAACAATTTTAACAAACGATAGCATGTCGAATAAAAGTTCAGCATCACAAGAAAAATCTAATGGCAGAGTCATTGATCCCTTGAGTCAATTGGATCCTTTGTGGTCCATCAGAAGATAATTACACAACGCTAGGAATGTAATTCCACAATGCAGCTTTAAACGATTATTTAAACGAAATAGGCATTCCTATCTTTGTTAAAGTGATTAAAAATATCGAACTAGAATTTTTAAGATAGCGCTTGTATAAATAATGTTATAATATATATCGAATTAAAGAATAACACAATGCATCTAAATTAGCCTTGAAATAAAAGACATTTATTCAAGTATTTGTGTGCTAATTCTTAAGTTTTAACAGTTTTACTGTCTGTTAAATATATAGAATAAAAATATAAAACATATGCCTCCTATTTGTTCATTTTTCATGTTTATACATTTCAATTGGCCTAAATAATGCAATCTAATTACATTATTTAGTTTATATTCGCTATATTTAGGTTGTAATGTATAATTAAGTAAATATAACATAACTTGTATTTCCTTAGCATTTTAATATAATTGATTTAATATTCTTGACTATACTTGTTTCCATAAGAAATAATTATATAAACTTTATGACATATTCATTTCCAACATAATTCATTAGATAACGAAGATACTTTAAACCAGTGATGCACAATCTGTGGCCCACCAACTCATAACCGAAAATAAAAAGAATATAAAAATTATATTTTGTACAAACAAAATGAACATTTGAACGACTTATAATATTTTTATCTATTTCTGAAAATAGCTTTCTAAAAATGACTCTTAAAAAAGATTGCGCATCACTGCTTTAGATAATATAATCGTTTGACAATTATAACGCATTGAATGCGAAATATTTATTATAGAGAAACAACTCTTCTATATTTAAAGCATAGGTTATGCTAACGTTCATAAATAAATGCAGTATTCTAATAGTCATGTTATTCACAATATTATGTATGATGGATTTTAAGGATGCTGCCGAAATATGTACTAAATATCTTTCAAAATTCTAATAAATTGCGTACAGCAATATTTATATCAATGCAATTGTTTATCTTTACATTTCATTTATAAAAATTTCAGTTACAATGCGATGAGCAATAATACATATATATGTATTAATTTCCGCAGTGACTGTCGCGAAACTCACATAACTGAACGTTAATATAAAAAGATTTTTGTCTATGCAATACCAGTGTCAAATTATTTTAAGCTCCTCTGTTTCGTAAATCTTTCACTTTGTAAATTCGCACAAGCCAATGTTCTGTCGTATATGCTTCTTCTAATGTATTTAATTCAAAATCTTTGTTTCCAATCTCCATGTTCCTTACTCTGTCATAACCTGAAGGCTTACCTATAAAAAGTTGAATGACAAGAATTACAAAACTAATATATGAACTGCAGTTTCAATAAAGTAAAGAAATCTTACCGCCTTCGGTATAGACTTGGCCAAATCTGTAATAACACATTTTGTACATGAGACAATTGAGCAAAATTGGAGATCCCTCTTTATCTACTCGGAATTCGCCTGCGGAATTATAATAATCCCACTCGGTTATGGACTTTCCTTTTTCCGTACTACCACCAATACGCACCATCCATAGGAACTTATTTATATCTAATTAAAATACATAGTTAATATTAATTTTTTACAATGCATAGAAATTTTTAGGATCAATCTGAATAGTTAGATTTGTCAATAGTTTAAATATTGTAATTAGTGTGACATGAAAATGACGATCAATTCGTAATCAACAGATTCAATCCTAATTCTCATTTCATACTTTGATTTACAAAAGATAAAGGAATATAAATTGTTAACTCGTTTTGGAAACAATAAATTAAAAGTAAAATATTAAAATAATCATGTTAGATTATATTCACCATCTGATGAATAGCCAGTGAGTCCTCCAAAAATCACAAGAACGTAGTTGACATCTAATTCTCTCATAATTTCGTAAGCTTTTTCCTCGGAACTGGCCATTGCCTGACCGACTCTTGATATGTGCGTATTATTCCATGTATTATTGTCTACTAAAATAGTACGATTTGCCATCGCAGTTATCTGATACCCGTAATCCCACCAAGACATTATTTTAGCATTCTGAAAAGAAGATAGAATGTATAATTTATTTTAATGTTATATTTCCTTTTCATTTCAATTCACATGTTCTTTTTTATTTTAATACGTAATTTTCTTTTTATTTAATTTTCTAACAAACTGTTATTCAATACATCATCTATTTATATCTATACTTTTAGATAAAGACTTGAATTTATAATCTAGATATTTAATCATTTGCATTTGAAATACAGGAAAGTAACAATGCTTACCTCGGGTGTGTTCATACGTAGCCAATAATATGCTTCTCTAAAATCGTCAAAAATCATTCGTCCACCATCAGGCGACCGTGCAGATAATACAATACTAGGCGAGCTATAAGCTTCTGCTGTAACCCACGTGCAGTGAAAAGTATAAGACAGGAAGAGTATAGACATTACTATGATGAAAAATGAGGCGATCTGAAAATATATCTTTATTTTTATATGTTCTTAATTTACTTTTGCTACGTCTAAATATCTTAGACATATCTAATTTTTTTTCGAAATATTATTTCGGAAACTTACCTCACTCCTCAAGATATAATTACTCTCGAATTTCTTGGCTTTCTTATCGACAACTTTTCCACTTTCTACTTGCTTCATGTAAGTAACTAATAAAGAAGACGCTCCAATTCCACCCAAAATGCACATTACTGGAGCAAGTACTAACATTAAACGTACCATCACTCCCTAAAATATTTAAATGTAAGACATTATTTAAATGTAATATTTAATAAAAAATAAATATGTAAAAATGTATGTATATA